GGATGGATCGTAAGCCGATACCAACATGGGACGGTGGGCGGTCACGACGACCCAGGGAGTTACAAGTCTATCGACGCTGGCCAGTTGTTCATCGAGCCACTCCCATTGCTCGCTGCCTTCAGTCCAGTCATGCTCAGAAGAAAGCATGACATAATGAACGAGACCAAACGAGAAGGAGTAATACCAATATGGGAACTGATATCTGTGTCTAGTCGGGACACCACACTCCCCACCAGAGTCCGAACCAAAGTTGCCCCAACAAGGATGCCAGCCTCCACTAGTATGATCAAACTCGTGATTACCAATACTCACCATATAGGGCATCCTCATCGCCACCCCTTCAAGGGCAGTACCAAACAAGTCCCATATACGAGCATACCCCATAGCATAGGACACATCACCAATGTGCACTGCCATCCTCAACCTTGTATTGGACCGCATATGGTCGACTACCCAGTAGGTATCCCACCTTCCGCTAGGAACATCTACTGCATCAGGCCCTCGATAGTAGCCCTGAACCCCCATGTCGCCAAAAAGAGCGACACTGTGGGGCTCATCGGAGCTCGGGGGAACGGGGGCGGTGACTGTGAAGATTTCCGAGCGATGATGAATGCCACCAAAGCGAACACGAATTTCCCCTTCTAATGATGCTGGTAAATCCGCTGTATAGAAGAAGCCAGGATCGTAGTAAGTCTTCGGATCTCCATCCCGATTACACATATCCTCATAGTCGTAGGTTGTAACAGAGGCATGCCTCACAGACCATTCGGAATCGCCAGCAGCCTTGTACTCGACGATCCCCGGGCTCGGATCCCCACTAACCCAATGGACCTTGAGAGCACCGGAGACAGTATTCATGCTGACGTGGCCTTGAGTGGGCTCAAGATGTCTCATACGGAACGTCACTCTCTCCTCGGCCCGACAGAGGCAGTCGCCAGTAGCACCAGAAATGTAGCGGATATCATAGAATGAGGACCTGATGTTCGTCAGAGACAGCGTGTGTTCTGAGGCGCCGATCAAGTGTGGTTTGAACCGCATAACGTAGTCGTGATTCCTTGTAGAACGGAAGGGTGGAGCGAAGAAGCCTATCCAATCCGAATCGTTGGTAGAGGTTGGGGACGACCAGTCCAAATGCAGTGGGTCTCCGCTCCTAGCGAGGACGGTAGGATTGACGCTAATAGTACAATGCGCACCACAAGGTGGAAGAGAGTATTCCGCCACTGATGTCGATACTGGAGAAGGACGGAGCAGCCATATGAGGAAGGTCAGCATCTATGAGCGCATAAAACATGGTTATCAACGGGGCAGAGTTGGATCGACTCTCTGCTAAATCGATACCAATTCGGATTCGTCGACGTAGTGGAGGATGCATTCGAAAGTTTCTTCCTCTTACAGTTGTCCCATAGGTGAGATCAAACGCAGTCTCCCACCAGAGATGTTCCCA